AGTCTCTGCTCTCGCTATGCCGGTCTCTCCCCCTCAGTCTCGCCCTGATCTGAGCCGCTTCAGAGCTCAGGCTCTGACTTCTTTTGCATGACTTATTTGTGCTCCGGGCCAGGTGCTGCGTGGGCGAGGGTGCCACAGGGGTGGGGTGCCACACAGTGGGGGCCTGACGCCCCTGCCCTCAGGGTGCCGGGCTGGCCCCGTGAGTACACGGAAATGTAGCTGACCCCGGGCTGAGTCGGGAGGAGAGCCATCCGAGCAGCCTGGGCCTCGGTGCCCCCGCCTCACCCTGCTCTTCCTGCCTCCCCCCGCAGGGTACGACTTCGCGGCCGTCCTGGAGTGGTTCGCCGAGCGGGTGGACCGCATCATCCTGCTCTTCGACGCCCACAAGCTGGACATCTCTGACGAGTTCTCGGAGGTCATCAAGGCCCTCAAGAACCACGAGGACAAGATCCGCGTGGTGCTGAACAAGGCCGACCAGATCGAGACCCAGCAGCTGATGCGGGTCTACGGGGCTCTCATGTGGTCCCTGGGGAAGATCATCAACACCCCCGAGGTGGTCAGGGTCTACATCGGCTCCTTCTGGTCCCACCCGCTCCTCATCCCCGACAATCGCAAGCTCTTTGAGGCCGAGGAGCAGGACCTCTTCAAAGACATCCAGTCTCTGCCCCGAAACGCCGCCCTCAGGAAGCTCAATGACCTGATCAAGAGGGCACGGCTGGCCAAGGTAAATGGGGCGGGGGCGTGGGCAGGGGGGGAGGTGGTCCGCTGCTGGAGGGGGCCCGAGGGGGCCTGGGACTGCCACTCGGGGCCCCAGGATTGGGCTGCCGTGGCTTTCGGGACACCCGAGTCCCATCCGGGCAGACCCACAGCCACACGCCTACGTTGCGCCGTGTCTGAACGAGTCCCCTCTACGCCCATGGGTGCAACCTCTTCTCAACGGAGTCTTGATGCCTGTGGACACCAGGTGGGAAGATAGCACTGTGCCAAGGGGCAGCCTGGGAACTGGAGAGCAGGTGGGGGTGCAGTCCTTGTTGGCTTCCCTCCCAGGCCTGTGGAGCGCTTAGCACACGCTGGGCGCCGGGGACACAGTGGGGACTGCCACGCACGGTCCCTGCCCTTCCGGCACTCACCAGTCGTACTGCGAAAGCAGAACATGCAAAGACAAATAAAGCCCAGTTTATTTGTGTGGCCATGGTGCGTTGCAGCAGCAGGCGACCGCGAGGCCTCAGGTGGGAGCTGATGCATGAGCCGGGACAGGTGAGAGCTGGTGGAGAGATGGGGCGCAAGCCTGCGGGCCCAGGGAGAACCCGGGTGGCCTCAGCCCCCAGAGGCCTGTGAACCGTCCCCAGTGCTCTGTGGAAACGCAGGGCCTGCCGACACCCGCCGGCGGCGTCGGAACTGCTCACGAGCCTGGGATCTTGGCGCCTGGCCAAGCGCCTCCCTGAGACCCCAGCGTGGGTGGGTCTGGGAAGCAAAGGTCAGTGCCACCAGTGGACCCTTGGGACACAGAGGGGCAGAGCGTGTCCCCTGATGTGGCATAGCAGCACGTCGTGAGCCTGCCTGGATACGTCCTCAGGCCGTGTCAGTGCCCGTGTGAGGGTCACGGATCCTTGGGGCTCAGCGCTCGGCTTCGGCCCGAGCCTGTCGGTGATGGCTGCCGAGCAGGGACCCTGTGCATCACCCCCTCCCTGGAGCAGTGGCCACGGAGGGCAGGGGGTTTTACACCCGCCCCTGGCTCATGGAGGAATAGGAGGGTGTTCTGTGGGTGTTAGGGCTTCGGTGAAGGCGGTCCCATGGCCTGTGAAACCCTCGCCCTGGGCTCCCGACACGGTGGCTCACGGTATCCCATCTGGAGGTCTGAAGTCAGGTAGCATGTGGGTGCTCACTATCGTAAGTAATAAGAACTGACCCTTCATCTTTTACCACTGGTCCCTGTCTCCACCCTGGTTACCCACAGTGCTCACGGGCCCTTCTGGAGCGTGCTAGAAGTGCAGTCCTCAGGCCCTACCTGGCACGACCGAACTGTCTGCACTTGAACACCATCCCCTGGTGGTCCGTATTCACAGTAACGTGCAGGAGCCTGCTCTGGGGGATACAGGCTGCACAGTTTTCTAGATCTCTCACTTCGGGACCTTTCCCAGTGAGTGGAGTCGGTTCTGAGAAAAGGACCCATGAGAAACCCCGCTTCACTGGCCCCCGGTCTCTCCCGTTTCCAGGCTGCGGGGAAGGGCGGCTCTGGTCTCTCCTTGTCCAGCCTCCTGTTGGCAGGGCCGCCTGTGTTCTCGCGCAGCCTCCTTCTAGGATACAACAAAGGGCAGACTCTTTGCTCATCCACAGAAATGGTGTTGTAATCACCCGGCCGACAGGCACATTGAGTCACCGTGCCCGGAAAACCCCGGGGCCTCCCATCTTGTCCCACACCTGTGGTTTCTAGACCGTTTCCTTTTCTTGGATTGAGTGGCTCTCTGCGCCAGGCCTGTGATAGGCGGAGCAGTGACTGCCACTCTCTTGGACAGGCCTGCTGCCCTCAGGCGGTTCTCAGCCAGGCTCTCAGCCTGGGGCAGGGCAGGGCCAGGCCCCTGGAGGGGTTTTGACGGAGTAGAGCTGGCAGTCGGGAGAAGGAGGGTGAGGCCGGCTGGCTACAGCCCTTCACGGCTGGACAGTACCTGGCAAGGCAGAGGGATCTGAGGGCCAGGGCCCTGGGAGGGTTGCGGGCGTCACCAGCCCGCCGTGGGGAAGTGAAGGGTGTGCCCCTAACTGGCGAAGGTCTAAGTAAGGTATTGAGCTTAGATAAACTTCAGAACATCTGGGAAAAGCCTTAGGTGGTTTTCCTAATCCTTAGTCATTCTGAGCCATCAGGGTGGTCAACTGAGCATACCTCCAGCCATGTTGAAGTTTTGTGAACTTGACATCATCAGCCACACGTTTGCACATGCGGGATGGGATGGCAGGGCTCTGCTCGGCTTGTACGGCGTGCCCCTCATCTCTGCTGCGTGGAGGGGTGGCTGGGGGGTGCCCGGTGCCACAGAGAACACGGGCTGTGGTCTGCTTTGGGCAGTGTCCCCAGTTACAGTCCCAGCCTTCTGGGGCGGCCCCCACGCAGGTCCCCCCCTGACAGGGTGTCCGGGACGCGCCTGACGTCCGCCCCTTCCTGTCTTTCCAGGTCCACGCCTACATCATCAGCTCCCTCAAGAAGGAGATGCCCAATGTGTTCGGTAAAGAGAGCAAGAAGAAAGAGCTGGTGAACAACCTGGGAGAGATCTACCAAAAGATCGAGCGGGAGCACCAGATCTCCCCCGGCGACTTCCCAAGCCTCCGCAAGATGCAGGTGTGGCCACCCCGCGCACCCCGCATGTACCCTCTGTGGGCGCTGGGGTGTCAGGGAGTGAGACGGTGGTGGGGGGAGGCGGGGAGGGGATGCCGGGGCAGTGGTTCTGGAGGGAATGCAGCTTCTTGGGGTGGGGCCTCCCCAAATGGAAGCAGCTGAGTCAGTCAGCAGCACCCCACCCGAATCAGAAGTCGACCCGGCCGTGACACCACGAAGGGGAATGCGGTGACTCACCCTGCACGGCGGGGGGAGGGCGGCGGGCCAGGCATTCCAGCACCGTCCTCCCCACGGCCCTTCAGGGAAGGTACCTCTGCCCCGCAGCCTGGGGAGCCGAGGCCGAGGGGCTGCCAAGCGGTCGGGGCCGAGACCTGGAACCAGCTCTTTGGCTTGGGATCCCTTGCTCCCCCACCCCGCCTGGAGTCTGCAAGGGACCTGAGCCAGCCCCTCCCCCCACCCCCTCTGCCTACCACAGGAGCTCCTGCAGACTCAGGACTTCAGCAAGTTCCAGGCCTTGAAACCCAAGCTGCTGGACACGGTGGACGACATGCTGGCCAACGACATCGCCCGGCTGATGGTCATGGTGCGCCAGGAGGAGTCCCTGATGCCCTCCCAGGCCGTGAAGGGCGGCGCCTTTGAAGGCACCATGAACGGGCCCTTTGGGCACGGCTACGGTGAGGGGGCCGGTGAGGGCATCGACGACGTGGAGTGGGTGGTGGGCAAGGACAAGCCCACCTACGACGAGATCTTCTACACGCTGTCGCCCGTCAACGGCAAGATCACGGGCGCCAACGCCAAGAAGGAGATGGTGAAGTCCAAGCTGCCCAATACGGTGCTGGGGAAGATCTGGAAGCTGGCCGATGTGGACAAGGACGGGCTGCTGGATGACGAGGAGTTTGCCCTGGCCAACCACCTCATCAAAGTCAAGCTGGAGGGCCACGAGCTGCCTGCCGACCTGCCCCCGCACCTGATCCCGCCCTCCAAGCGGAGGCACGAGTGACCGTGACCGCCGCGCCCGCCTGGCCAGGCAGAGACTGGGGGGAGGGGAAGGGTCACCAGCTCTCAAGGTCCATAAAGACTGAGCGATGTTTCCTCAGCTCTTGAAAAGGAAAACCATCATCTTTCTTTTAAGGCTGTTCCTGGGCCCAGCAGGGAGGCGGGTGATACTCGCATGTGAATGATGGAATTTTGTGCACAAGAACTATGGATATTTTTAATATATAACGTCAGAGGCAGCGTTCTTTCTTGCCTCCTCCGTCTGACAGCCCCGCACACAAGCCTCTGTCCTCTCCTGTCCCGCCGTACGGCCCGTGCCCACCCTGGCTTGCCCCCCACCCGGCAGCTGCGGGGGTGCCCCGGGGCCGTGTGCAGACAGGCGCCCCAGGATCCCAGCTTGCCGCTGAACTGAGCGCAGCTTCGCTGGGCCGGTGGCTTCCTTCCCTGTGCGGCTCCGCCTCCTCCCCGTGCTCCTGGATTGGGTTGGTTCTGGTGCCTTCTTCTTTGCCCTCCGTGGTGGCCCCCTATGCACGGGCCCTGCTCTGTGCTCTCCTGTCCCACCCCGCTCCCCCAGCTTGGCAGGCCCAACTACCTTTCTCGTGGGGTCCGGGGGATGAGTAGGTATGCGAGAACGTTTCCCAGAAAAACATAGAAGCTAGCTTTGTTCTGTAAAGTGACGCCTCTCATACTTGACCGAGTTTTTCAGTAACTTCCTAACCACTTGTTCAGAAGCTGTGATTTTGTCCCCTTTCCCACACTCCAAGTAGGGGCGGTCCCACCCAAGAGCCGTTGGATGTACAGAGCACACCCCGTCGGGGGCCCAAGAGCCGGCGTTTCTTGCTTCTCCCTTCCACTTGCCTGGAACATTCTGGTGTGCCTCCTCCCCCACCTTGGATGGGTGGCGGGCCCCGACGAAGCCAGCATGGCTTAGCGTTCCGGCCTGGGCCTTGCGTCCAGACAGCAGAGACCAGGGACGACCCAGCCCCTCCCCCCTCGTACCCGCATTCGAGGAGGCCCTCTCCTACCCTCCTTCGGTCGTCGTCCCATTGAGCAGAGGAGGGCAGCGTGTTGTCTTGGATGCCCTTAGAATAACCTCCCTCCAGGCTGAGCAGTGAGGGACCCGAGGCAGCGAGCCACCAGATCAGGTGGCCCCATCAGCTTTGCCAGCACGGCCTCGGGGGGCCTGGCCACACTCGCGGGTGTCCCCGTCACTGGTGGGGGGTGGGGGGGGCAGGCTTCCCACCAGGCACTCCCCAGGTAGGTCTCAGGGACTCCTCCATCTGACCTCTTCGACTCCCCCCCCCCCCCCCCCCCCCCCCCCCCCCCCCCCCCCCCCCCCCCCCAGCCCCATGCCTCCAGTACTGCTCTCTCTGGGCCTCCGCTGGGTCTGAGTCACTGGCACTGACCTTGTCACCTGCCGCTGGCTCCGGCGCACCGTTCTGTGCAGTATCCAGTGAGGGTGGGGGCAGCCTCCCGGTCCAGAAGTCACTGTCAAGGTGCCATGGCCCATCCACACTTACTTGTGGGAAGAAAAAGCAACCGAAGGTAACTTCTTTTCTTGCATTAAAAAACATTTAATCATGCCGAAGGTGGCTTTTGGTGCTTCGTCGTCTCTTCCAGGGGCCTGCACCCCACAGCGGCGGCTGGGACACCGGCAGGGCATCTGGAGGGCCCAGGTGCCAGCGGGGACAGATCGGCAAGCCTGAGGGTGCAGAGGTGGTCCTTGTCCCATAGAGCGAGGCCTGTAATGGGGCTGACGACCCCCCTTTCCTTGTGCCAGGTGGGGGCTGCGCGGGCAGAGTTGATTTGTGGGGGGAGGATGGGGGGTGAAGAACTCAGGGAAAGTCCTGGTGACTGAGGACAAGGCCGGCCTCCAAGGGGCTGGGGTGAAGGTGCCTGCTTTCTACGACCTTCTCCGCTTCGCTTCTCCAACCGGGGCCCCTCCCTGGCCTTGGACTGTAGGCACTGGGAGGGGTCAAGGAGACAAGGGCTTACTGAGCCCCACACTAAGCCCCAGGGTGGTTCAGAGACCGTGAAGCCCGCGCTCTGAAGACAGACCCAGCAGACACACTGGCGACAAAAGCACAATTATGAAGGGTGGGGCCGGCCAGCGTCAGACCGGGGGACTGATGGTACCGGCAGAGGGAAGGGCGACAAATCGGGAGCTGATGCGCCACGGAAGCTGGGACGTTTTAGGCGCAGTCAGGGTGGAGACAGCTCCGGGCCGGCGCATCTGTGACAAAGGCAGGACACAAACAGGTCCCCGTGGGTTTTGAGGGCCAGGTTGTATGCTGCAGCTCGTGTGGCGGACGTCCTGTCTGATGGCCGGTAGCTGAGGGAGCAGGGGGTCGCCAGCCCCCCAGTTAACCGCTCAGGTTTGCCTTGACCTTCATGACCCAGGAGGTTACTATTCCCCATTTCACAGCCAGGAACTGGAGACTCCAGAGGACTGGGAAAGCAAGCATAGAAGTGTGGGACTCAAACGCAGGCTGCCCAACTCCAGAGCACGAGCTCTCGAAAGTAGCCTTTAAATGTTTATTTTGGGGTGCTTGGGGGGCTCCGTTGGTTAAGTATCCGACTTCGACTCAGGTCTTGATCTTGCAATTCGTGAGTTCGAGCCCCGCATCGGGCTCTATGCTGACAGCTCAAAGCCTGGAGCCTGCTTCGGATTCTGTGTCTCCCTCTCTCTCTCTCTCTCTCTGCCCCTCCCCCACGTGTTATGTCTGTCTGTCTCTCTCTCTCATAAATACACATTAAAAATTAATAAAAAAATAAAAATATTTATTTTGAGACAGAGCCCAGGGGAGAGGCAGAGAGGTGAGCGAGAATCCCAAGCAGGCTCCGCACTGTCAGCGCAGAGCCTGACT